ATGTCAATTTCTGATTTCATCTTGGCTAATCTCAATAATATAATGTCAAAACAACATACAGTAAAAACCATAGTCCAGCAAGCACCTCCACCTATCTTCCCTTCTTTGTCCCATCAAATGCTGCCCTCTCAACCTGCAAAATTCAATAAGTCAGTCCAACACAAAGAGGAGAACTACATTGAGATCCAAATACAAAGGAGATATTATATCCCTATCATAGTCTAATATATAATAATTGACAGTACCTCATTATCAATTGCAATGTCTGTTAAAAAATTTGGAAGAGAAGCATGAGAATAACCATCCAAAATCAAATTGACATGTAGACAGTTAATCAGCATAAAAATGTAAATATTAAATGTATATTCACCTGTGACTACCAAAAAACTAAATAGAATCGAATTTCTTTTATTTAAGTAGTTGCTAATGTTAAAAAGGATTGAAATATGTAAGGAACATAATCTAGTCTATAATAAATCAAAACTGAGAAGAGGAACACTGAGAAACATAGATTGCTTATCAACGTTAACAGGTTTTCGCCTACGGATTTGGTATTCAAGTCAGATTCCTTCATTGGTTAATTTGGTTTTCTATATCTTCAGGATACACAACCACCCTAATCCAATGGCCTGTAAATATTAAAAATCTGCCTGTAAAAAACTTAATTTCCATGTTGATAATAAACCATGCTTAATTTCCATGCAGAGGCTAAACAATATGACAAAGTTAACAGCTTAATAAAAATTCCAGTAGAAGAAAAAGTTAACAAGAAAAGAGAGAACAAATGGAACTTTTTTCACCAACTATTCAAGCTTCAATACCTAAAAAGGTAGTATCGTAAAAGACAAAAAATAAAAAAATAAAAATAAAAACTTGCATCAGGAAGCTAGGACTATTTTTTAAAAAATACATTATAGCTGTAAAATTATGGTTGGAATAAACAATATGGTCAGCCATAAATAATCTTATAAATTTAGCAATCATAACAACATTAGCTTCTTTTTCATAGTGAACGGAAACTTCTTAGGAGCCAAGTTTTTGCAATGTCCACACCAAGGGGCATAAAGGTCAAGCAAAACTGCAGAAACAAACGCTTGGTTCATGGTTCTCAGAAGGTAAAATTATAAGATTATTAATGCATGGAATCATAACTTGGCACTTGATGTACTCCTGCTTAGTACTACATAGCTCTAGAGACTAACGTGAAGGAAAAAGGAAAGTTCTCAACCTTTGGT